AAAAAAAAAAAAAAAAAGATATGACTTAAAGGAAAACTTAGAATTGATTTGTAGGACATAAATATATTGAGTAGTATTAGATCATCTGTGACGACAAGGAGAAGGCATGTGACATGGCAAAAAGAATAAATGTTCAGTGTGACAGGCTTGGGCTCGGCTGTGGCTCTGGTGCGTCCCAGCTGTGTATCTGTGAGCAACTTTATGATGTCTCTTCCTCACCTGTTACGTGCAGGTGAAGGTAACACCCACCTCATAGGGTTAGTGCGAAGATGAAGAGAGATGTGTGTTTAAAGCAGAGTGACTGATACACAGGAGGGGTTAGACTGCAGCTTGGTGGAGAATGATCATGCTGGAGTCCATGCAGTGGAGAAGTAGAAATGGTCCCTTAAGCCCAGGGCCACCGTGATCTGTCAGACCATGAGAGGGGAGATAGTAATTTGTACATAGGATTTGAATATATTCTTTTTGCTGTGCTTTATGTTACTCCAATGTTTAGTAGACCGTTGTATCCTGTGAGACTTACATACTTTTAAACGATAGTAAAATATTAGAGTAGCCTAAAATGAGTGTAGAAAACACTCAAATGACCCATAGGCGCCGCCCAATCTCTGTGTTTTTTATAGAGATAGAGTCTCGCTCTTGCTCAGGATGGTCTCAAACTTTTGGCATCAGCCTCTCAAAGTGCTAAGATTACAGGCGTAAGCCACTGCACCCAGCCTAAAGTCATCAATATATATTTAATTTCTACCTGATTTTTGATTATTCTTAACGGCGTCTTAAGATTCTGTGTAGACATATGCATGTTTGGAATAGATCCCTGTAATCTGAATTGCTGGGTCAAAAGATACTTACACCAATTTAAATCCCCACTTACAATGTATGAAATTGCTTGTTTTATAAACAGAAAACAATATTGGAAATTTCCCTTTTAAAAGATTACTAATGGCTTAGAAAGTGAAAATAAAGGTGTATCGTGCTTGTTTTAATTTGCATTTATTTATTAGTGAGTTGAACTTTATTAGCTGTTTTGCTTTCGTTAGAATTTTTTTTAGAATGTTTTCTTTTAATATTTCTTTATTGAAAAATGTATAAATTGTATATTCTATATTTTTCTTCTTGATTAAAGGGAAATAATTTTTTCTGATGTTTCAGTACTTACCATTTACAAGCTGTGGTTAAGATGGTGTCTCCAAAGTTAAATGTTTTTCTCAACATCAGCCTGTAGGGGTCTCTCTAACCCAAATTTTTGGAAATCAAGAAACTGATTTTGATACTCATGAAATTGTCTGTGATCCAGGGGCAATCCCGGCGAGTTCAAGTGGAAGTGAAGTCTGTGCAGGAATCTGGGACTTTGCCGTTGATGGAAGAGTGTATATTATCTGTTGGCATTGGGTGTGTGAAAGTCCGACCACTGAGGTGCCCCAGAACCCACGAGGCCGTCCAGGTGAGCTTGTGCACCTGTTACAAGGCAAAACCAAACCAGAGAGCCTTTTGAAACCTGTATGAAAACTACCTTTTTCATTTGTTTCAGGATATTTTGTTTTGCTTTAATGTCTTTTTTAATTTTTTTAAAAATTTGTATTTATTTAGGGACAGAGTCTTACTCTGTCGCCCTGGGTAGGGTGCCATGACATCGTAGCTCATAGCAACCTCAAACTTCAGGGCTCAAGCAATCCTCCTGCCTCAGCCTCCTGAATAGCTGGGACTACAGGTGCCTGCCACCATGCCTGGCTAGTTTTTCTATTTTTAGTAGAGAAGGGGTCTTGCTCTTACTCAGGCTGGTCTCAAAGTCTCTGAGAGGCTGAGACAGGTGGACTGCTTGAGCACAGGCATGTGAGACCAGCCTGATGTCTCTTTTAAATGTTTCTCATTTTTCTGGAGTCGCTGCATGAGACTATTAAGGGTTTTGTCCCGGTGTACACGGCAAGCTGTGGGTTAAAACATCTCAGCCTCCAGATTTCTCAGTGCCTAAGAGTGATTAACCTCCTCAACATTACCCACCCTCTGCAGAAACCCCCTACTGGCTTGTAAAGACTGTTTGCCAGCAGGTGTTTGATTTCCCCTGGCGATGGGGCTGTAAACCCCGCAGGGAGAGCATTGTACTGGTTCCTGAAAAGGTCAGATGAGTGTTCTTCACTCTCCTACCAGAACTCCAGCTTTTACTCCAACTTCCTGACAACTATAAAACTCAGGGTGAGGGTAGGAGAGAGATGAAATAGGGTGTTGATTAAATTAGAAAATAGAAGCTTGTGGGGATAGATTCAGATTGTTTAGCAAGCCTGACTTTTGGATAAATGATCATTCTGTTCTACATCGTATACATTTTTCTTTTAGGAGGAAGAGGAGGACATGGACAGCTACCAGGTAATTTAACCTGTTAACCTCATCAAAGAAGCTTTGGAAGGACATAATGACACGTTCCTGGATGTCATTGCACTGTCACTTCATTTTCATTCAAATACTCCTTCTTTTAAACAGTGAAACAGTAGAGAGCAAGGGGACATTGTTGGGTAGACATCAGCTAAGCGGTGTCCTGGTGACTCTTCAGGACAGAGAGTCACCCTCAGACGTGAGCTCCCCTCAGACTCCCTCAAGATCCCTTTCTCCAAATCCTCTTCCCTTTTCTCTCCTTACGGGGAGTCACCACCCACTGCCTCTGTCCTAGTGGTCTCATTCCCCATTGCAGTGAAGCCCTGGGTGTTTTGCACATATATGAAGCCATCTCTTCTTTCCTTGCTTCCTGGAATCATACCGGGTTTGTTCGCAATTTAAAATCTATTTTCCCTTTCCTAACCTCCTCCAAGGTTTTGTTTGTGTCTGTGAAGTTTCATCGTGTTAGTCATCGCTCGGGACTGTCAGGGATCTCTGGAGCCTGATTATGTCATCCTGTGCAGTCACACTCTTGGTTTTGCATCATCCTAATTTGATAGAAATGTCTGCCTTCCCATAAGGCACTGATAAAAACATGGTATCAACTGGAGTTAGATGCAGAGTCCTGTGGCACCACCTTGGAGGCTTCTTTTCAGCTGATGTTAATCACCCTTCTTTGGATGTGATATTTGAGCCCTCCGTGATTTCACTCAAGCGGACACGTTGCGCGTCTCTCCATCTCGTCCGCAAGAATGTCACAGGCTATTTGGTTAAGTGCCCTGGTGAAGTCCAGACACAGGGCGTCTGCTGCGTTCCCTGCCCACCCAGCCTGTAACCTCGTTAGGAAGGGAAATGAGGCAAGGGCGGCCGGCGTGCAGGTGCTGACCGGCAGAGTTGTTGGTCTGTGACGACAACCCCTGTCTCCTCTCCCCCAGCCCCGTCCCTTACCCCTAAAGTGCATGAAAACAAGGGAGTGGAGGGAAGTGTCGATGAAACACACAGGAAACAGTAGTCAGGAAGTTTGAAGGAGTCTTCTGCTTGTCCTAAGTATATACATTCGAAGATTATTCAGTATCTTTGTGATTTCTTTCCAGCAAAGAGATTTTTTAGAAGACTTTTGTTTCTAGTACTTGGAGTTCTGTCCCCATGCTGTTACAGAGCGGGTTCTGGATTCCAGGGGATGCCCTTTCAGAAACCCTTACTCTAGAAAATAATGCTTTTAATTCTGAGAGTAGCTGTTCTGAATTGTGGGTAGACGGGTAGTGGCCGTAAAGCAATTCGCGTAGAAGACGTTCCAGTTTGGAAGCCTGTTAGAGTCGGTGAGTGAGAGAGAGCACCAGATCCACAGATGTTGTCTCGACGTAACACTGAGTCACCTTGCCCCTGTTTTCTTCTAGGATCGGGATTTAGAGAGACTTCGTAGAAAATGGCTGAATGCGCTAACGAAACGTCAGGAGTACTTGGATCAACAACTGCAAAAGCTTGTCAGTAAACATGGTAGGAAGAGGAATTTGAGTATTCCCCTCTCTCCCAAATCCGTGCACGATTAATAAATCCCCATTTGTAGCCATAAAAATTAGAGCCAGGTGAACATCAGAAATGGGGATGGCCAGAGCACGGGTGTTATTCCTTGGGTCCCGTCTTTCCAAAAGAACATTAATCCTGTTTTAATAATGTCTCGATGCAGGCCTTCCCATCCTTCCCACCCCTCGACAGAGAAGAAGAAAATACCATTCACAAAACAAACATTGTCCCTTAAAAATAACTTAAAGGGGCTTGGCGGCTGTAGTATAGTGGTTATGGTGCCAGCCACATATACCGAGAGTGGCGGGTTCAAACCCGGCCCGGGCCTGCTATAGAACAATGACAACTGCAACAAAAAATAGCCAGGAGGTGTGGCGGGTGCCTGTAGTCCCAGCTACTTGGAGGTTGAGGCAACAGAATCACTTAAGCCCAAGAGCTGGAGGTTGCTGTAAGCTGTGATGCTGTGGCACTCTTATCGAGGGTGACATAGTGAGACTGTCTCCAAAAAAATAAAAATAACAACTGAAAGGAAGGTGTTAATAGTTCTTGTTCAGAGGGCTTGAGTTGTCTGACTCTGGACCGACCCTCTCCTGCACTGCGGCCTGTAGCCTCCATGGCCAGAGCCTCCGGCTCTGCCGGATCCCCCCTGAGTTCTCTAGCTTGGAGTTGGTTTTTATTACTAGTGAGCACTCATCAACTAGTAACTGAAATACGGGCAAATCTGGTCTTTACTTAGGGCAGACGTACAAATAGCAAGTGAGATTTCTGTATCCGATTCCTAATGTTCTAGATAAAACAGAGGACGACACTGACCGGGAAGCCCAGCTTCTAGAAATGCGGCTGACCCTGACTGAGGAGAGGAATGCGGTGATGGTCCCTTCTGCTGGCAGTGGGATTCCGGGGGCCCCGGCAGAATGGTAGGAGCCCCGTCCTGCGACTTTTGGGGTTCTGAACGCTCACTAAGCCACCTGCTTTCAGACTGAATCTTGCATGTGCCGCAGTTCATGGAAGATTCATAATGGCATGTGGGGAACAAGTTGTTTGAATTAAAGAAACTATTAAATTACTTTCGAGAGTTGAATAACTATGGCCTAAAACTGTTTTATTAAATAATATTGTTATTGGCCAAAGTCATTAAGATTTCTGAGAATCTAAATCAATATTTAGTACCACTGCACTTAGCTTTGAAAAAACAGTTAATATGTTAATTACTTGGGTCATTCCCTTAAAAGACTGTCTGGTCGTAAGGAAATTGCATCTCCATGCATTTTTTTGGTTTTGGTGCTGGCTTAAACTGAACTGTCAGCAAATGTCCTATCCCACTTTATAGAAATTATAAATAGTAAATTAAGCCAGAGGGAGCCTTTAAGTGATTCATTTTATAAGAAAGTAGGTTTAAATAAGGGAATTTCACGGTAAACACGCAGGTGAGTCTCTAGCGTTGAGGTCTAGTGTTGGCACGTGGAGCAGCAGCTGCTGTTCCGACTGTGGCATCTCTGACGTGGGGTTGTTACAGAAGCCATGGTCAAGGTTGCTGTTGCCCTGCCTTGGTTCTGTGTGCTCATCCAGGCTGCGTCTGGAAGTGCGTGCTCCTGAGAAGCTACGCTTGATTCACATGCCTTTGTCTGTCATGTTACAGGACCCCAGTGCCTGGGATGGAAACCCACATTCCTGTTATATTCCTTGACCTAAATGGTAAGTTGGGGGGGGGTGTCCTCCGAAGGCTCCCTCTGACACATGGGTGCCTGCGTAACGCATAGTTCCCAGCTAAGCCTCTTATTGGGCAGTTCTGTCATCATAAGGGTAGAGTCAGATTACATTTGCCCACATGCTCTGTTCCTCCGCAGACTAAATTATTCGTATAAGTTGTATTTTTTTAACGATGTCAGGAAGGCGTAACCATTGAGCTTTGCCACGTCCTACAGTGCTGTGAGGACGCCTTGTTCTCCCCATAGGTTAGGCTGGTAGCAATGTTGCCCTGTAGTTAAAGCATTTCCTTAATTCCTAGGGAGAGCCGTGTCTCTGGAGAGGACTAATGACTAGCAATACTTAAGTGGCAGGGTTTCTCCTGCGGGGTTTTCTTAGCATTATCTAAAGAATTTCTCCACTTCTTTCTGTGAGCTCCAGTGCCAGTCATCCCTGCATTGCTTCTTTTTCTGTAACTGTCATTTTCCTGATTCTCCCACCACCACCACCACACAAAAGGTTTTAGGTCTGTTACATTTTACATCTCTGCTGCCTGGAGGAAGAAAAATCAAAATTGGAAAGGTAGATTAAGGAGCTAAAAATAAGTTAAAAGTTAGCAGTTCAGTTCCTACAACATCTGCAGGAGACTCTGTGTTACTCTCCTGATTAGACACGCTCAGATGTCCTCAGCCGTTTCCTTCCACTGAGCCGACAGTGAGTTATATTAGCATCTGGTGCCACTTAGTTTATTTACACAGGAGATTTTTATAAACAAGCAGAGTTAGAGAATAATAGTGAGTCCGGACAGCACTGTCTGGCCATTGCTGGGTGGAGTTGTTTCTTTATCTCGGGAAGAGTCAGCCTGTCTAACTCTGGTCTGTTCCTATGTTAAGTCTTCCTAGATGGATGAGAGAGAGACTATGGGGGGAGAGCAGCAGTGAGTGTGTACATGAGGAAGTGTAAAAAAATAACCTTCAGGAAGACCAGTTAGTCTGGATATTCAAAGAGACACTCTTGACTTTGGTTGGCCTTAGGCACAGCCTTGGTTCCCCCACACCCACGTACTGGGAAAGGGACTTTGGCTGTCAACTCACAAGCCCAGCTCGGCAGGGAGCTGGAGGGGCCACACGCGCCGCGTAACCAGAGGGCCAGGGTTCAGCACTTCAGCTGCTAACTCGTGGAGACAGTTGATCCTTTTGCTGAACTCCACTGGAATCACTCTTGATTGGGTCTCAACTCTTCAGCGCTCTGAAAGGTGGGATTTGGATTATAATCCCGTCATTGACATTTGTGAGTTGACCTCAGATAACCTGGGAGGTATCTCGGCTTCACTTGTTTTCCGCGTAAGATAAAGGCGTAAGGCAGCACACTGGATGAGATGATTTCTTGAGACATTTTCTGTCTCTAAGGTCTGTGAACTTTTAAATGGTTATCATCAGTGTCACAAGGAGCAAAAAGCAAATGAAATTTGAAGCCGAAGAATTTTAGTAACAGGCATATTGAGATTTAGACGGTAGAGTTATCCTTTAAGATGATCTTTAATGGAACGTTTTTACTTGTAGCTGACGATTTCAGCTCTCAGGATAATCTTGATGACCCAGAGGCTGGTGGGTGGGATGCCACCCTGACGGGGGAAGAAGAGGAAGAGTTCTTTGAGCTGCAGATCGTAAGGCACCACGATGGAGAGGTGAGTGCGGCGTAAGGCAGGCGGTGAAGAGTGAGCTCCCCCTCCTCTCCCTAGGCTTTTTGAAACAACCAGTAAGGTAATTGTTTCAGGGCTCACTTATTTCAGAATACATAAATTCCACAAAGAAGGGACCTTGAGCATCAGGTGACGGCCACTCGCCCTCTGTCTCCCTCTCTGGTCAACACCTCCCAAGGGGCGCGGGTAGCTCGGGTCAGCAGGTGCAGAAGCTTCATGCTTGTTAGTTAAGCAGTGAGAGATGGGAGCAGATGCTCCAGGAGTATTTGGAGGCGAAATGGCACCATGTTTGCCACTTGCTTTGAAATACTCCTGGGAAGATTTCTTAAAAAGGTGAAAAGGAATAGTTGAAGGCAGTGTGGTGAATCCCTGATCTTAATGGTTGAATCTGAGTGATGGGTGTGTCATGGGAATTTATTCTCTCATTTTGAGTACGTTTGAAAAATTATGTCATAAAGTATCTTTCGGAAGGAAAGCTGACACGTGATGCTTTGAGGACACGTCGTTATTGGCGATGTCCCTGAGGACAAAACTTGAGTCTAATGATAAGGAAACAGCCAGACACTCCAGTTATGGTTCATTCTACAGAAGGGCAGGTCTGCCCCGTCCAGCTTATCTGTGTCCAGCTGAGGTTCTAGTCCAGAGTAGAGTAGACGGATGTGGCCACTGAATGTAAATTGTGATCCGGGGCTGGGAAAATAGAAAAAGTTGAATATGGATTCCATATTAGATAATAGTAATAAATCAATGCTAAATTTCCCAAATGTGATAACTGTCTGCAGTTCACTTGAAAGTGGTTCAGTGAAAATAATAATAATGTGTTGTCATGAGACAGAAAAGCCCCAGTGACCAAATGCTGACAAGGATATAGGACATCACTGTACTCAAGTTCTGCAACTTTTCTTGATATTTGACCATTTTTTAAAATAAAAAATATGTAAAAGCAAGCCAGCAAGAAACATCATGCTCTTGTGCTTTCCAGGCTAAGGACTGAGGCCGCATCCTCACATTCCACTCTCACTCAGTTCTCATACTAGAACTTTGCTCCGGGCTGGCCTGTGCCCTCTCCAGCCCAGGCCAAGGTGGTTTCCTTGGGAGGGTTTTTGTTTTTGGATAAGAGGGAAAAGTATTTTGTGTCTGATCTGTAGGTTAAAGCCGAGGCCTCCTGGGACTCGGCAGTGCACAGCTGCCCGCAACTCAGCAGGGGCACCCCCGCCGACGAGCGCGTGTTTCTGATCGTGCGTGTCACGGTGCAGCTCAGCCACCCTGCCGACATGCAGCTGGTGCTACGCAAACGCATCTGCGTCCACGTTCACGGCCGCCAGGTGAGTCTGTAATCCAGTTGACGAAATGACGTGGACCAGAGGTCTGACCGGAGGGCAGAGCTGTGGCCTCATCACTCTGTGGGCCTTGTGTCCAGGTGGGGTCTGGGAGGCCCTGAGCGTCTCTTTTCCAGGTGCCTGCTGCTGTCCCTGACCACACTTGTGTAGGCCCACGTGTCACCTAACTTCCTTCCTGGCATTTTAAATTGTTACCCTGAGTCTCTCTTATGGCAGATTCACAAATTATGGTTGTTCCTTTGAGGGCCACGCAGCCCTTGGATGGGGCAGTTCTTGTGGGTCCCGCAAGCTGAGGAGGTTCCCTGGCAGGCACAGGCTGCTCACCCTTCTCTTTCCAGAGCTTTTCTCCCTGGCAATCTTTGATGCATGTATTTGGCTTTGGGATAAAAAGGTGAATAAGAAGTGAGCTGGGCACTTGTAGTCCCAGCTACTTGGGAGACCTGAGACAGGAGGATTGGCTGAGTCCAAGAGTTCAAGACTTGCCTGGGCAGCATAGCAAGACCCCATCTCAAGAAAGCACACATAGTCTGTGTCCTGAAAGAGCCAAGTGGATTTGTGTAGGTCAGTACATGAACAGGCACCTGCTCCAGGTTGGGGTCAGAGCTGCAGGGCAGGTGCTCCCCCCTTGGGACGAGATCGCGGGTGATGGAGTAAAGATTTTCAGAGTGAGAAAGTCAGGGAAGGCTTTGGGGAGGAGGGCAGCTTTTGAGTGGACACTTTACAGAGAGGAGTGTTGGCCAGGAAGGTGAGGAGCTGGCCGTCCCAGGGACTGGAGGAGATACATGTGCAGACATACTGAGGAAGGCAGGCCAGGCGGGCTCAGGGGACGTGAGGAGCACAGAGCGACAAGGGTGGGCTGCATGTGCCGCGGCTCTCAACACAGTTACAGATGGACAGGGAGGGGTTTAGCGGAGAAGCGTAAGAATTTAAATTCTTCCCGTTACTGGCTTTGCAAATATAAGGATCTGGGAGATTGAGTCTGGAGATCTTTGTAACTGTCTTATCTGCCTTTTTTGAGGCATTCTCACTATACTGACTAAAACCAGTATAGATGAAAATCTTTTCATTTAAAAGAGCACAGTCACGGTTGACTGGCTCCTAGATGTAATCTCCACCCTAAAAATTAATCTTTAGTTCTAAATGTCACCCTGATATCAATCTTTGAAATGAAGACTGGCGGTAATGCTGTTAAAATCGCAGCTCTTTAGCTTGGCAACCCAACATCAATAAAACCCGGGTCTCGGGGTCAGCCGCAGGGTGTGCCATGCATGTCCCATTCATTCTCTGGCTCCCTTTTCTTGTAAGTCTGTAAGGGATTGAAAAAGGCATGCTGCTCTCGGGGAGCATTTTGAAGAGTCATTTTCCATTTCAGAATTAGGCATCCCAGTTGCCAGCCCCGAGACCTGCACGGCCACACCCACCATCCCTGCAGAGTCTTCAATGGAAAGGGGCTGCCGTGGAGTCACTAAGTTTCTACTGTTTGTTTATTTATAGGAATGAGTTGCCACATGATTTTTCCTGGTTGACGTGATTTGGAAGTATTTTAAGGGATGCCATTTTCCCTCACAATTTCAGATAATTCGTTCCTGGAACTTGCATCTTAATCGTAGAAACAGGGCCTTCCACCTGACCTTAAGCCATGCTGGTTACAGGCCCACTTCACTGAGCTCCACACAAGTAGGAAAAAACTTGACAACAGTAGCTCCCCCTGCCCCCCACCCCGCCATCTCCTCTGGCTTGCGTGGAGCCTGGGGCTGTGCCTTAGCAGTGTGCCTGGGCTGGACGGCACTGCAGGGCTCACATCTGGGAAGCCTTCGGCTGTGCCTTAGTAGTGTGCCTGGGCTGGGTTGGGCTGCACTGCAGGGCTCACATCAGGGGAGCCTGGGGCTGTGCCTCAGCAGTGTGCCTGGGCTGGGTTGGGCCGCGCTGCAGGGCTCACATCTGGGAGGGAGGAGAACTCAGTGGTCTCTTTGCATTCAGAGATGCTAAAATCTATTACAAAATTAACCAAAGATCATTGAATATGAAATAAATTACCAGCTGGGTTTGTGAAATTATCTGTTTCTAGCACCAGATGGCTTGATTTCCCTGTTTTCTTTGGGGTTTCGTGTCTGGGCCTTGCCCTTTGCGTGGGGCAGAGGCGTGGTGCCCCCCGGGTTCCTCTCACCCTGCTCTCTTCAGCCTCTGCACAGTGTCTGGTGTCAGCAGCTTCTTCAAGTGAGTCATCTCTGCATTAATTCAACAGTTCAATCCTAACTGTGCAGAGAGCGCAGTCAGCACAGACGGTGACCGTGCACTCTTAAATCATTGCCGTAACGATCCTGCTTTGGTAAAGAATTGACTGCCTGAACTTGTCAATATTCATGGTACGAGATGTCCATCGTGCTGGGGGCGGGGGGGAGATAAAAGTGTAAGCGTCACCAGTCCTTGCTTACATCTTACTCAGAAGGTCATTTGTCATGTGGAGGTCAGCAGTCTCATCTCTGCGTCGGGCTGTACAGTGGACAGTCCGTTGATCCTGTACGTCGGTAACAGGACCTGTCACCCCCTGCAGGCATCTAACAACAGTTCTGTGCAGTAGGACGCAGTTGAGGAAACCGTATTTGTGTTGGAAATATGGCCTCTTTTCGTTCTGTTAGAATGACCATAGCATCCTTTATGTTGTCTTGTTGTTAAGAAGCTCAGTTTTTGAGACAGGAAACTGTACGTTGTGTTTTGTTTCTCCACAGGGTTTTGCTCAGAGCCTCCTAAAAAAGATGTCGCATCGAAGTTCTATTCCTGGCTGTGGAGTGACTTTTGAAATTGTCTCCAACATTCCAGAGGTGAAGGATCTTCTGCAACTCGAATTCCACTAGAAATAAACCTTTGACAGGAGCTAACTCCCTGAGAAGCCACCCAGCCGAGAAATACAGACGTGTGCCGTGAAAATGGGGATTTGGGCAAATGCTCGAGAGTTCCCTGATCTTAATTCGTGGCGGAATTCTCTAGTTTAAAAGTTATAGTTTTAATATTTTATTGAAAAGGAACTTTCTTTTGAAAAGCAAAGCTCCACCTTTTGACTCAGAGAAGAGGGCAGAAGAAGGTCATGATACAAGCCCTGAGGGGAGGTGACACAGCACGGCAGAGGTTCAGAGGTTCACGTTTGATCTTGGAGTCAAACAGCAATCTTGTTTCTTTACTTACTAACAAAGTAAACTCGGGTAAATTACCCTGAACCTAAGTTTTTTTTATCAAATGTGGTTAGTAATAGCTTCTGTATAGGGATTTCGAGGATTAAATGGGGGTAAGGCATACAGATTATTTCTATCATCATTCCTACAACGATCGTTTTGTTAGTACCACTGTTTTTCTTTCTGAACTAATTGAGATGGAGGATTCAGACAGTGGAGCTTATTAAAATTAGACACCTGATAGAGGCTTGATGGAAGATGGGCATATACATTCGCCTGCTGTTTAACTCCTGAGTTAGACTGATTCTTCCTGGCTGGGGCACAGCCAGGTAACAGAGGAGCCCCTTGCAGGGGCAGTGGAAGGGAGGGACCTAAGGAAAGGACTCTGAGAACGAGAAAGTTCCTTTTCCCACAGGCTCTAGCAGAAAGTGAGGAGTGAGCAAGGGGTGGAGACTTAGTTTCCTCAGATGCACACACACCCCAGCATCACGGACACCTGTTCTCCTTATTTCAGGGCTTAGGATCCGTCCATTGATCTCTGCTGAGTATTTGCACAGGAGGTGGAAAATGCACATTTTAATACAGATGCAAGTTTTTATAAAAGAAAAAAGCAGCTTACCCGGGACTTAGGTTTTATTTTCTAGCTCTTGTACTGCACAGTGCTTTCTCCTCTCAGATACCGTCAGATAGTACCTGGTTCTTTCTTGGATCTCCAAGCATTAGACTTACATAGTCAATACTAACCATTTACTTATCTAATTTGGAGCCTGCTGTGCATTTAAAAATAAGCCTGTTTGGCTCGGCTCCTATAGCTCAACCGGCTAAGGCGCCAGCCACTTACACCTAAGTTGGCGGGTTCGAATCCCCAGCCCGGACCCGCCAAACAACAAT